ATATATATATATATGGAAAATCAGAGAAATATGTTGTTTACTACAGATTGTTATTCAATAAGCAGTTTTTGCTCTCATCTTCTTAACTACTAATATTTAATTCTTTGAGAAGTTGTATAAATAGTTCTTGGAAAATTTTCTAAACTTGTTTTTTATGAGACTGTTGATTTGAAAAAAAATGTGATTTTGAAGAGAAATGTGGAATATAGATAATGTAGATTCCATGTTGTGCCATTACTTATGACTTTGTTTTTAAACAGAACGGTATTTTATAGTGTAGACTTTTCATCATCTTACTCATAAAATATTAGTTATTAGGTGGGAGTTTGCTTCTATGATTAAAAGACTCCCTCATCTTACTATTTGCAATTTAGTAGGAGTATGATATAAGGTAGATGGTAAAATACTTTTAAATCTTTTAATTAAAAGAAAAATAATTTATTTCCTATTCACTATGGGAGTTTGCTTCTATGATTAAAAGACCCCTTCATCTTACTATTTGCAATTTAGTAGGAGTATGATATAAGGTAGATGGTAAAATATTTTTAAATCTTTTAATTAAAAGAAAAACAATTTATTACCAATTCACTGGTCCAGGACCCTCAAACGTTTTAAAAAATAATTAATTAGGTTAATTAATTTTTTTTATTATCATCCTTAAATTCTTAATTTATTCTATACCATTTTAGTCTATTAAGAAAGGTTAAATCCCCATATTGTCCCTCTATTTTGATAAAAGTCCCTTTTTAATTAGTCCTTCTACTTAAAAAAAAAAAAAATTCCTTTTTTACTCTTAAAGTTTGAAATCTGACTCTATTTTAGTCCCTTTGTTAACTTTTACATATATAACTTGTTAGATAACGAAAACTTCAAAGTAGAGGGACCAAAAAGAGTTTAAAAAAAAGCCTAAAATAATCCTAATTTGGTCCTTTTATTTTTTTAAAAAAACCCTTTTTTGTTCCTTTACTTTAAAATTTTTTAACATCAAAACTTAATAGAGATACTAAAAAAAAAAGACAGATTTCGAACTTTTGGGACCAAGGGGGTTTTTTCAAGTAAAAAGATTAAAAAAATTTTTTTTACCAAAGTAGAGGGACCAAATTAAGGTTTTAACCATATTTTAATCACTGTTTCATTTTATTCCTATAAAAATATTTTGAGACTTCAGCACTGCTCCTCGCCGTTAATTCATGGAGCAAATCATGAAATTTCCCCATCCTGAACAATTTTTTTAGTCTCTCCATGTCCATGTATTGAACATTTTTGTAGCGTGCGGATTCGCACTTCCAATTAATAAAGTTTCGATTCATTGAAAAAATGAAATTCCACGTATCCTCCACTCATTCAAAATGGTAGACCAGTCACTACATGAAAAAGATTTCCGGCTAATTTTGTTTCCCTTATCTTGCATCTTTTCTTGTATCTGAAATGACTCAAATTGAAACTCAATAGTAGTGATCCTCCATTTCAATCGATGTAAAATTTATATCATTATCAATAGTAATAATTACTATGAGTTCATACCTATAAATGGTGATAATTTTGATATCAATTAAAACTATTCAAATCAAAACTTACTATTAACTTAATAATTTTTTGAGTTAAGGTTCACGAGTTCTCAAAATTGTAAATTAAAATTATTAATAATAATTAATCTTCACACTTTTATATCAACAATATTC